GTGGTTGTCCCCCCAAGCCTTCTAATGATTAATGGTCTGGTCAACCTTTAATTATTAGTTGGGAACCCTTTTAATTATTCAGATATGTCTCAAGGGAATGCCTTTGGGATATAATTAGCTAATTAAACTAGTGACCGTAAGTCAGCGAGTAGGCTGTGTGTCATATAAAAGTAACTTTGACCATAAGTCAGCAGATAGGCTGTGTGTTGAATGCAAAATAACCTGTTAAATAGGAAACTCAGATTGCACAATACACTGAAAGCTTATCTAAGAAAAGAAAAGAATACCTATGAAATTTAACAAGAAGAAAGAAAAATAATAAATGTTGGAAAAAGAAAGCATCATGATGATGTATTGTTACATAATAAAATGCAAAAATCTTTGGACAACAAAATCTAAAAAAACAACTTACTACCTATTTTTATCTTCCCCAGTAATATTTATGAAAACAATACTACATGTTCCACTTGGAATTGGCTTCTTTTTTTTTGCTTAAAACTTACTATATTAATAAGTAATCATGACCAAAAAAGAATGTTTTAATTGTCACAATACAAAAGAAGGCTTAATTCGCAATTCGTGATAAACGGAAAGGATCGACATACGTTTTAATATATAGTAAAATGCGGGGATAATAAACATAATAAATTACTTAGTAAAAATAATATTGAGCTGATTTTAATTTTAAAAATTTTAAAATGACTAACCATCCCAATTTAACTGTAAATCTCATTTCAATAGGCAAAATAAAGCCACATTTGCACTATGGCATAGATTCAAGAGAATGGTGGGTTATGAAGAGTAAAAGTAAACCAGAAGAAAGTGCGTTACTTTATCCAAAGGAGAGTTGGTTGGGAAATAAGTATAGAACAAAATGGCAGACAATACTATACATGTATTACTGAAGACAATGAAAATAGTAATTTATTACCAGGATATAGATGTCGTTCTGGGTGCAAGTTTAACCAATGCCATCAACAGGTTTAAATCAGTAGTTTTTTCCAAATAAAACAATAAACAAAAAAATTTTTTATATTCTATATTTAAATATATTAAAGCACATCATCATTAAAATCTATGTCTCAAATTACCAATTATTCTTTAGAACCAGGTATGGGATTGGATAAATTAAAGAAAGATGATATTAAAAAATTGTTGGATCAAAGAGACC